AAGGATCTTCACTTTCAACTAGTGCCGCTTCTGCACCGGACATGGCGCAAAGGAACCCCTAAGCACTAACCGACCACAAAAGACAAGTACACGACAAACAGACGCTGAACACAGGTATCGAGAACAACTGCCCCAGACCGCGGCTGAGGCTCCGCTACCAATGTAAAACCACAACAACAGCACAGCACAAGAACCACACGTCACAAGACCACCAACAAGACAAGAACTGCCTAACCCAGAACCCCGAGGCAGGGGCCTGTGCCCACGTCCTCCCTTTTCGAAGCTTGAGAACTCGTGCGCCTGCGGTAGGCGTTCGTAGCTCCTGCAAAATCAGGGCTTCACATTTAGGGTTTAGGGTTGAGGGTTTAGGGTTTCGGGTTGAGGGTTGAGGGTTGAGGGTTTAGGGTTTAGGGTTGAGGGTTTAGGGTTGAGGGTTTAGGGTTGAGGGTTTAGGGTTTAGGGAGGAGATTCTCAATGGTTGGGGGTTCAGGGTTTTAGGGTTTCAGGGTTCAGTTTAGGGTTTAGTTTGGGTTTTAGGGGTCAAGTTAGGGTTTTCAGGTTTTAGGGTTTTAGGAAGGCTTTAGGGTGGTAAGCTATCGTAATGTGGAGTGATTAGATGGGTTTAGGGTTTGGGGTCGTAAGCTATCGTGGTGTGTTTTTCTCAGAAGCGGGTACCTTAGACACCCCTGGGATACATAGAGAATTTAAGGAGCTTATGTTGTTTCCTATTATTCGGAATTGCAGGTGATTGTTTTGAGCGACCCCCATATCGGCACATAGTTCAAATGGGGTCTCCTTGTGATGAACTTTTTTCAAGTCCTTCGCTCCTCAAACAGAAAGGTTTAAGGATGAGGGTTTAGGTGTTTGGGGTTGAGGGTTTAGGGGAGGGGTGCAAGGTGAATGGGTTTAAGGTTTAGGGCTTCTTCTGCTCTTGTGGGGCCTAAGTAGGTCCTCTGGAGGTATACACAGACATGCAGAAGAGGTTGGGCTTTTGGTGGGTGTTGGTGGGTCTCTAAAGGTGTACACCGTTGAAAATGAATTTTGGGAGTTTAAGGTTTTGAGTCTTTTGTTTGGGTTACAGGTTTCAGGGGACTGCAGGGCTGGAATGTTGAGGCTTAGTCCTTGCGCTGTGTTAAAGGTTGATCATGTGCGGGAGGGCCATTCACTATGGGAACGTGCGACACATGTAGGATTTAGCTTTGAAGGTGCACTTTTCACAAGCTTTAGTAATACAAGTAATAGTAGCAATAGCAATAATAGTCATAGTGGTAATATGGTAATAATATTCATAGTACTACTGTTAGTTACTGGTTTTCCTCCCCCCAATATTAGACGCCACACTCCACTAATAATCAATACTCCCCTTTGTGGTATATCATGCTATATTGGGCGTATTTAGCATCAGGGGGGTGGGGTGGGGTTGGGGTTAATCTTCGGGGAGGGGACTATGCATTTCCTTCCAGGCTCCTTGCACGTTGCATCCTGTTCGTACTAGCAGCTGAGGTGGGGATGGAAGCGCGCGTGATGTTGCAAAGCACAAGGGTTTGGGGTTTGAAGAGTTAGGGTTGAGGGTTCAGGGTTTTAGGGTTGAGGGTTTTAGGTTTTAGGGTTTTAGGGTTTTAGGGTTTAGGGCTTAGGGTTTTGGGGTTTGGGGGTTTGGGGTTGTAGGGTTTTGGGGTTTTGGGTTTAGAGTTTTAGGGTTGAGGGTTTTGGGTTTTAGGGTGTTAGGGCTATTGGGTGTAGGGACTGATGCTATGAAGACAGACTGTTGATGTGTTGCGGCCATATCCAGAATAGCTCTGAAAGTATATGTAGAGTCCTCTGCTAATAAGACCGCTCCCGAATAATAGGCATTACCTTGCATGTATTACATGAATATCACTATCCAATGGTACTACTTTCTGGGGCCGCTCTTAACAGCGGGGGTCGGGGTTTGTCATGCAGGGGGAGGTGTTCAGTCCGGTGCTTGATGAGACAATGAGCTCGTTGAAGTTCCAGCTTGCACGGGGATCGCAAGAGTGATTGAGTAGTTGCTCAGAGCATCATGCAACATAAGCTTATAGTATCTGCCATATCCGCGCTATGATTGTGACGCGACAGCAAGACATCCCTATCGCATTATGGGCAAAGAGGCACGTATATGCCTGTATTGCACCTGAATTAGTGGCTGTTAGCTTCAGGGTTTAGCGGGTACAGGGAGGGGCCCCCTAGGTATCAAGAAGTGGGTTATGAGGGGGCAAGTCCCAGAAGTTGTAGCTATCCCTAAGGGTCCAAGTACTCAAATATCATATACTTCCTTGAAACCTGCACTAGAATTACAATAACCCAAACCCCAAGTACCCAATTATTGGGTACATGGACTCTCAGGGGTACCGTATGATAGTGGAACTTTGGAAATGGCGACTTAAGACATGATGGTGCCTTGCTTTCCAGCTGCTTGCTGTGGGAGGCTTAATGTTAAAGATTTTAGTCCCCCATAAGTAGCTAGAATATGGGGTATATGGGGATCTTATTATAATCTACCCAGAGCCATATTCTATCTACTTAAGGGGGACTAGAATTAGTGGCAAACATCTATGGTGGTTTCCCAAATAGCGGAGACCCAATATAGAACCCCAACAAATATAATCCTCATTGTATCCCTAGGCGTCCGCCACCTCGTACCCTAAACCCTAAGCCCTATCTACTTACTAAGGGGGACTATAGTTCCTAAAAAGGAGCGAGCTGGATGGACTCGTGGAAGCTGAGCAGCTGCGCCTCTGCTATGCCCTGCGCCGCGACGGCGCGGGAACTAGGCCACGACGGTCACAGCTTTAGGGTTTAGGCTCAAGGGTTTAGGGTTCAGGCTCAAGGGTTCACGGTTTAGGCTCAAGGGTTTAGGGTTTAGGCTCAAGGGTTTAGGGTTTAGGCTCAAGGGCTCAAGGGTTTAGGGTTTAGGCTCAAGGGTTTAGGGTTTAGGCTCAAGGGTTTAGGGTCAAGAACAGGAGCTATAGTCTTAACTCCTTAAAGGAGGTTATATGGAGGATAACATAGGGAAGTATAATAGGGGTTACTGTTCTAAGGGGGATACTAGGAGTTTAGACTACAGCTCATATGGTTTAGGGCTCAGGGCTTAGTACCCTAGATGCTACTAGGACCTTTTTTTGTTGTTGCTTGCTTCCCTATGGCCAATTCTGGACATGCGAGGTGGGTACCCTAAACCCCTAAACCCTAAACCCTATAACCCTAAACCCTATAACCCTAAACCCTATAACCCCTAAATCCTCCCTGGAGGGCTTCAGTGTTTAACGCCCGCACGTTTACAGCGCAGAGTCGACACTGCCCGAAACCCCAAATAGCGGTAAAACAATGTCCCCAAACACATACCCCTAAAAGGGTTTAGGGTTTAGGGCCTAAACCCCCAGCTCTAATAACAAAAGGCGCTTGTTCTACAGACCTATGGCTTGTGGTTAAGGTAGACTGCAAATCCCTAAGCTCTGAACCCCTAACTCCAAGGATCTCCAAGGTATATAGTCCCCGCCAATTGCCCAACATCATAAGATCCCCACATACCCCATGTTCTATCCAAGCCCTGAACCCTAAACCCTACTTGAGGGTGACGGTACATTCTTCTACCTCCTTCGGTGGTTCGGATACCGGGGGCATAGTTGAGTTTGGGAGCTTCGTGTTTTGAAGCTCCAGGCTGCGGGGTTGGGAGTGGGGTTCGTGTGGGACAAAGGAGGATAGGCAGTTTCCCTAAAGAGGGAGACCCCAACATAGACCCCAATATACAAGAATCCTATTATACGACCCCCAAATCGGTGCTCCTCATTTCGGGAAACCTCCATATTACTACAGGATTTAAACCCTAAACCATAAACCGGGTGGGGAGGGTTCCCCTAAACCCTAAACCCTAAAGGCCGCCGCAAGTTGCCCCTTAATTAGCGTTATTTCAACGCAGTTATCTCCACCCTAAGGGTCCAAGAGCCCAAGTAATAGGGTTTTAGGGCCCAAATATTCTAATCTTAATGGTATTTGTGCCCTAGAACCCTGTTTATTTGGGTCCTTGGACCCTTAGGCCCAGATAACCTTAAACTGGTACGGAACCTGGCCGTTCAGAGGCTTCAGGGTTTAGGGCTTCGGATTTAGGGATTACGGTTTAGGGATTTAGGGATTTGAGGTTTAGGGGCTCGGATTTACTGCTCAGGGTTAGTATGGCCGAGTAGGGGAGCTCATGATACTGGCCCGTGACGAAGCCCTTGAACGTACTCAAGAACAGTGGGGTATGATCAAGGATGCAGGGTTAAGGGAGGATGGCAGCACTTGAAGCTTCGCCGGTACCCTAGAAGCCCAGGTGCCCATATAGTAGGTCCTTGGGTTATAGATTGTATAAATGTATATAGGGACTTAAGGACAGGAACCCAACCCTAAACCGTAAACC